CTTGGGTGTGTGTCTGTGTGTGTGCATTTGAGTGTGTATGTGTGTGTCTGAGTGTGTGAGTATGTGTCTGTGTATGTGTGTGTATGTGTGTGTGTGCGCGTGCATGTGTGTGTGTGTGCGTGTGTCTGTGTGTGTGTGTGAGTGCGTGCATGTGTGTGTGTGTGCGTGTCTGTGTGTCTGTGTGTGTGTGAGTGTGTGTGTGTGTGCGTGCGTGTGTGTGTGTGTGCGTGTGTCTGTGTGTCTGTGTATTTGTGTGTGAGTGTGTGTGCGCGTGTGTGTGTGTGTGTGTGTGTGTGTGTGAGAGAGTGTGATGTGTGTATACCTGCGTGTGGGAATTTGCATGTGAGTGTAGGTGGCCGTACTCCAGAGTGGGCATCAGATCTCCTGGAGGTGGAGTTACAGTGTTTGTGAGCCACCTGCTGTGGGTACTGGGAACCAAACTGAGGTCTTCTGGTAGAGGGTGTGCACCTGAACTGCTGAACCACCTCTCCAACCCAGGAAGCATCATTATTACCATTTTAAAGATGAGGAAACTGAAGCTTTAAGAGGCACAGAGAAGCCAGGTGGTGGTGTCCTCGGAAGGCAGAGGCAGGCAGAACTCTTGAGTTCAAGGCCAGCCTGGTCTCCAGAGCTACACAGAGAAACCCTATCTCAAAAAACCAAAAATAAAAAGAGAAACACAGAGAACACCCGGTAGTGAAGTGAAAAAAACCGAGCTTTGTCAGGAGTCCATGGCAGTAACTGCCTCGGCCCTCTCTTTACCGGATGCTCACTTCCCTGAGGCCACCACCTGTGGGGCTATAAAACCACATACCTTCCCCTCTGGCATCTGTCACCAGCCACCTCCAGTCTCTGCTCACACATTATAAAGTTCCTGGGCCTCCCTGGCCTTTACACAGCCCACAGATGGTCATTGCCCAGTCCGTAAGGGGCCCTTCAGCGCTTCTGCAGGTGGCCTCACATGCCTCAGGCGATTCGCTAATATTTAACATTTTATCACAGTCTGGGGGGCACAAGGCCTGGCTTGGCCTGGCCCATCCTCTGCTGAGCTGTGATTAGAGCCTTGGAGACCAAGGTTTTATGATGATCTGACAGGGCAGCTTGGGGAGAAATCCACTTTCTGTTGCCTTGCTAAGTGAATTTCCTCCCCAGATGACCACCTGCAAAGTAAAGGCACTGAGCAGCCACCATGTCTTTGGTCATAATGCCACCCACACGATCTCCTTTATTTCATCCTCTTGGCCATGTCCTAACTGGTTAGAAGCAAGCTGTGTGACCTGCCTACACTCAGGAGCAAAAGCATGAACCCCTGAGGCTGGAGAGATGGCTCAGAGGTTAAGAGCACGTGTTGCTCTTGCAGAGGACCTGGGTTTCACTCCCAATACCCACATCATGGTTTACAGCTGCCTGTAACTCCAGTTCTAGTGCTCTCTTCTGGCCTCCTCAGGTACCAGACACACACAGTGCACAGACATGCCTGCAGGCAAAACACCCCCACACATGAAATATCAAAATAAAAAACGAAAAGCCAACATGAACGCTAGATACTCAGGGTTATTGGGCCCATCTGTTTGGAGAAAGATCCTACAAAACAGAACAATTCCACATGGCTCTTAGGATAACCTTGTGTGGTTATCCTAATAACCTAATATCCTAATAAATAAGCTTGTGTGGGTAAACCTCTTTGATATAGCTGTACCCTCATAAATGATAACAATACCACATTATCATTTATCAAATGGAGGTAGACTAAGCAACTCATAAGAAAAAAACAATTCAACAAGAGTTTTAAATAATTACTTCCCTTTCTTTCACATAAACAGAACCCACAGGTGAGGTGTCCAAGGTTGAAGTGACAGCTCTGTGGTCACCAGGGACCCAGGCTCCTCTTTCTTATCTTTGTGCTCTGTCATTCATTACCTCTGCCGTGCTCTACCACCAACCAGGAGGAAAGAGGAAGCGTATCTTTTTCATTGAAGAGTGTTTTATGAATGCCATCCTGTCCCAGCTCCCAGCTGCTTGGATCTCATTGGCCAGAACTCAGTCATATGAAGCACCCCCTCCCCAGGAGGCTGAGTAATGCCGGCTGTCTTCTGGGAGGCCCTGGGGCGCTGTGTCAGTTTTCTTACCTTGGAGGAAGCACTGTCACTGACCACATGAGAACGAACCCCAGCAGCAGGCATCGTCACCATCTCTCCTCCAACTCAGGTAGGAAAGGGGACAAAATTAGCCAGCTTCCCTGCTTCACAGGCCTCCTGGGGCTGAGGAGGGGCAGGCAGCCAGCTAGGCCCCTGCCCCACTCTGAAGTTGTTTTCCAGCTGAGGAGTTCTACCAGGCACCTGGGGAAGTGAGGCCACCTTGCTGTTCCATGAGGTATTCAGTCTAGCTGGAGAGAAGACAAAACAAGTGGCCACAGGGGTCTGGAGCATGGGCCGGCCACAGGCTGGGAAGGCTGCCTTGCTGTTCTATGAGGTATTCAGTCTAGCTGGAGAGAAGACAAAATAAGTGGCCACAGGGGTCTGGAGCATGGGCCGGCCACAGGCTGGGAAGGCTACTGGTCCTGCCTACCCCGGGCTCTGTGTCCTGGTGTTAACTGTGTAAAACAGTCACTCACAGCTGAAGACTTCATTCTGTGTAAAGTGGGGGGTGGGGGGATGTAGAAGGTCCCCTTCCAGGGCTGCCAGAAATGGCTGGAGGTGGGAAAGGCATTGGCCTTGGAGGTTGTCAGCCAATGGGAGTGAGGTGCTGAGTCGAGGGAAGCAAGCCCCTGCAGGGGTGGTTGGTTCTAGCTGACTGAGTGTCTGCATGCCTGTGTTGAAGTCCTCCAGGACCTCAGAATGGAGCTGTGTTTGGGGACAGGGCCTTAGAAGTGGTAACTGAGCTGATGTAGTCATGAGTATCCCTCTTCCTTCAATGTAACTGGTGTCCTTATACAAAGAGGAGAGGCCAAGCCTGGCGTGGTGGCACATGCCTGTCATCCCAGCACTTGGGATGTGGAGGCAGGAAGATCAGGTATTCATGGTCATATTCAGCTACCTAATGAGTTTGAGCCTAGCCTGGGCTCCTTGAGACCCTGTCACAAACAAAACAAAACAGGAGCGGAGGACATAGACACACACAGAGGGACGGCCAAGGAAAGTGGCCTGAGAGAAAGCACCCTGGCTTTGGGGAAGTCCCCCGTGTGTACCTGGCCATGGTGACCAAGCAAGCTAGTCTCAGCCATGACTCTCCCAGCTCCTACTGGCTCTCTCCTCAGGATGCTACCAGGTTTATAATTAAACAACCCAGCACTGGTTACTTAAACCACAGCCTGAAAAGACCAGCGCTGTGGGGACAGAGTGACTCACACTGGAAACGACTCAAGGAGAAAGGAATTTTACCTCCTGACCTGGCAGGGTTTCTGGGAAGGAGCTGTGGTGGATATTGGAGAGTCCTTCAATAGATGGGGTATAGCTTCAAATCTGCTGTGCCATTCACTGTGTGACCTTGAGCAGGTGTCTGAACTTCAAGTTTTCTTTGAAATTATCCTTGAAAATTCATCACGGAGGTTTGGAAATTTTGAATATAATCATGCATGACTTGTAACTCAAAGTGTGATTATATTAGAGAAATAACGAGTTGTTGATAAAAGTACATGGACACTGAATAAAACAGATGGCATGAATAAAACAAAATAGTCAAATGATAATGGTTAGGTCATAAATAAGAAGGAACACCTGTGAAGCACCCATACGGTGCCTGGTGCTGGATAAGGCCATCAGACATCCTCAGGGGGCCATTCACCAAGTGGCCTGTGCTGGGAGGAGTAGCTGGGGTCCACTCACTGCTCCAGGGGAAAAGGCAGGCATGAGGCTCAAAAGGAGAGAGTGTGGAAGACTCTCACGGGCCCCACCCAGCACAAGAGTGTTTTTGGAAGGTTTTCAACCTGCCTCTACCACGGAACTGAAAAAAAATGCCGAAGTCCAGATATTGAACGACAAATAACCCAGTGTGTCCTCGTGTTTAGAAATAGCCAAGGACCATGAAGAGCTGGCTCTTCTCATGGACAACCTCAGCCAGCTAGGACCCCTTCTCTCATTTGACTTAGGGTCAAACTCCCTCACGTGCTGGGATCTTTGTTTTGTTTGTTCTCAAGTAGCCCAGGTTAGCCTTGAGCTTGCTACTCAGCTAATAAAGGACCGTAAACTCCTGGTCCTCCTGCTCCATCTCCCCAGGTACACCTAGGTACACGAATGAGTTACCATGCCTGCTTTATATCGTCTGGGGTTTGAATCCAGGGCACCCTGCGTGCTAGGCAAGCCATGCCCTCCACTCATCCACCCACCCACACACTCACACCAGACTTGTGTCCAGGCATCTGGAAGTGCGGCTCTGAGCCTGAGAAATCAGAGTGACTATGCATGAGGTGCCAGAGTGTGCCTCTCCCTCAAGCCTTTGTCCCACATGGGAGTCAGGACACAGGCTCTCCTGGGACATGGCAGAGCCTAGGTTAAAGTGCTAACTCAGAGTGAGAGCCACATGCTGGGGCCTGATGCACAGGCTCCAGGAGTGGCTGCCAGAGGTCACCAAGAGGTCACGTATCTGGAGAAAGGCACTGTGTGGTCACATCGATTACTGTGGAAGGGTGGCAGGTATAGGAACACTGCCCTTATCCACGTTCTGTGGCTGGTGGGAGAACGCCCCCCCCCCCAGCCCCAAAGGTGCCGGCTGAGCACATATTCTCTTTTAGTTCCCAGAGTTCAGAAGTCCAAGTCAGTGTCAACTCTTGACGTCAACCTGTAGGGCAGGATGCTTTCTCAGGCTCAGGGTAGAACCAGTTTTGATTGGACTTTTTGTTTTTTTGTTTTGTTTTGTTTTTGAGGGTTTTTTGTTTGTTTGTTTCTTGCTCTAGGAGTTCCCTGTACCCCTCAGTGTTCCTGCCCATATGACACCATCCACATGCCACTTCTTCCTCTGACCTCTTCACCTCTGTCATATAAGGACATATGTAATTTGCTTGGTCAGACCCACCTGTCCAGAGAAATCGGCCCATCTCAGATCCTTGGCTCTCTGATGACTGAAAAATGCTTTGGCCACATAAGGTCCTAGTCTGGGGATCCCAGGGAATCCTCGGAATGTGGCTCAGTTGGTAGAGTGCTTGCCTAGCACACATGAAGCTCTAGGTTCAATTCCCAGTACCATACAAACTGGGCACAGGTGGTGCACACCTGAAACCCTAGCACCCCAAAGGTAAGACAGGAAGATCGGGAGTTCAAGATCATCCTTGGCTACATAGCAAGTTCAAGGCTGGTTTGGGCTACATAAGAAAAACTTTGTCTTTAAACAAAAGAAAAAAATCCCATAACTATCTTGGGGCTAGCATGTGTCTGGGCTACCAGGTGCCACCTCCTAAACGCTAACGGACACAGTAGTGAGCAGTGTAAGCCACCAGCTGAGCTGCACCCAGATCCTGTCTACCCGTTCCGTTCTGCCACGGCCTCCATCATGCCTGGCCCATCCTGGGCCTCTGTAAGGTAGACAGATTTTATTAGACTCCCTTCTGTCATGTTCTCCTCCTCTGAGTGCTGTGATCTGAGGGATGCAGTTGCTGTGGGAAGCTGCCCTAAACCCATGACAGATGCTCTCAGCAGGGAGTCCCTGGGGTCAGGAAAACACAAAGGACAGTTAAACAGTGTGTATGGCCTCTCTGCCAGCCCCCATCCTCCTTCTCAGATCTGTCCAATGCCTCAGAAGGTTCCAGTCCTGCTCTTGGGAACACCTCCGCTCCCCCCGCCCCCGTTACCCAGAAGATGGCTGAGGCCTTGGAGGCAGACCTCTGCATTGCCTGTTCTATGTTTCTCCCTCTGAGAGGAAGCCCAGGCCTTTGCCCCTAGGAGTGAGGAAGGCCCGAGAGAGGCCTGTGGGCAGGGTTGTTCGATGGGGAAGCCCAGGACAAGCGTCTCAGCCTCTGTGTATGTGTGCCCGCTTCCACCAATGAGCAGAGTTGGGACAGCGCCTCCTTTAGGCTCATGATTGTGTAACAGACTGAGTTTCCCAGAGCATGAGGTGTTGGCACAGCCAGGGCAGAAGCTCAAAGCCACCTTTGCCAGTGCAGGCCAGTTATGGCTCATTTCAGAGAGGTCGGCAGACTCAATCAAAGTTGGTTCCAAGAGTCAGGGTCATTTGGAGTGAACAGTGCAGAGGCCTAGCTGCGACTGACTCTGTGTCCATGGGCTCGGTCCCCATTGAGGAAGACAGGCCGCCAGTGTAATGGTTCCCAGGGAATACAGAATGCTCCTGGGACTCATGGGCTGGGTCCCTGGTGCCAGGCTTGTCCGTAGGGCCATACGTCAGCCACTTGCTAAACAGAAAAGCTTGAGACAAACTCCCAAGGGAGACATGGGTTCCTTAGCCCGCCCCCTCTGGACAGCACCCCAGGGGCTGCAGGGCAAGACTTGATGTCTTCACCTTATCAGACACTTAAGTGAATTAGTGAGGGACCTGGAGATGTCGGCTCATGAAGTCCATCCACCAGGACCTTGCGCCAGGAGCCTGGGAGGGAAGCTGCCTCTCTTCCCGGCAAGGCTAGGTGCATTCTGGGAGATGCCCGCTCTTCCGTTCTGTGGAATCACTCAGGTTGTCCCTCCCCTGGACTGCCCCGTCTCCTAGCCCAGACCCCCAGAGACAGCTCACGGTGCCGCAGGGCTGTTCCTTCTTCTTCCTGCTCATCTCTCATCCCTTTTAGAGATGCTTCCTAGGGTGAAAATCACACGTTGTTGAAGTATATACTTCACCACACCCCCAACTCTGTACTGCCTGTGTGACTTCAGAAAAGTTACTTTGCCTCTCTGAACCTGGGCTTCTTTCTTTATAAAACCAAACTAACAGGTTTTGAATGGTTGCTGGGGTTTGGGTATTTCTTGGGTGTATCCCTTGAAGGTTCTGTGTTAGAAGCTGGTTGCCCAATGTGGCAGCCTCGAGGCCATTGGATCCAAAGAGATGCCTAGGATCAATAAGCAAGTCACTGGGAAAGGACTCATGTAGTTCTCCTATAGCCCAGTTAGTTAGGGGAGGGGGAGGTCAGGGTTTCACAGCATAGCCCAGGCTGGCCTGCAACTTACAGTGATCCTCAAACCTCAGCTTCCCAAGCACTTGGGAGCCAGGCAAGCCTCTTGCTGTCACTCACACACGAGCTTTCCCCCTATTAGGAAATCGTTGGTCTTTCTGATGGACTGTGAGCAGATGTCACATGCCTGTGTAACCCCCTAAGCCCCAATACATGGAACGGGCCCAGAATGATGTAAATCAAACTCTTTAAAGTCAGAGCAACATTCGCCTGTGGCTCTCCATGCTTTTGTGATGACAGATGGCAGAACCTGTCTGCCTAGCCCAGGGAGTGGCCCTGGGGACTCAGCCTTGGCTCAGGACACAGAGGGTGGCTTCAGAGTCAGCCAGATTTAATCATGAGTCTTAACCAAACTACTTACTAACTGTGTGACCCAGGACAGAGAGAGTCTGGGATGGCAGGGCTCATCACACCTTCAGTGGCCAGAAATACTGGATGGGTGTCCATGGGTGCCTGACTCGCACTGAGCCAGAAAGCCATGGGTGTCCCTAGGACTTCCAGTCTTTTCCTCGCAGACTTCTCAGAGGCTTGCTCGTGCCTGCCCGGCTGCCCTCTGGCACAGCAGCTCTCATTCCCCCTCTCTCCCCTGTGTCTCCTTCACTCATTTTCCCTGGTGTCTAATCACAAAGATCTCCTGTGCTATTGAAGCAGGCACCTCATACCCTTGGCTCTTTGTCCTTGGGAGAGGTGGCCCAAAATCCCCTGGCAGGCAGGAGGACCCCAACGGCAGCAGTGGCTTGGTGACAAAAGCTACTGTGGGCTGAACTTGGCAGGTCCCGCTGGAACTCCTCAGTGGTGTCAATGTAGATCACTTTCCCAAGTGTGGCAGGCAGTGGTAGTGCGG